AATATATCAAGATTTGGTTAACTCAGACCTTGAGTGTTGCTTTGTTTGGGTGTTTTGTTTTATATTTGATATTATGACAATCCTAGAATCTGACTCTAAAGTTGTTATTCGTGCACTTGCGAACAACTAATAGAATTGCAAATGTTGACAAAGAAAAAGGTTTTTGCTCATGAAAATATGTTCTGATATTTTAGAGTCTTCAAAGAAGGAACCAAGGTGGAATTTTTGGAAGTATCTGGTCAACCCTGAGGGCCAAGTTGTGAAGTTCTGGAGGCCAGAGGAGCCCATTGAAGTCATCAGGCCTGATGTAGCAGCTCTGGTTAGACAAATGATCATAAAAAAGAAAGAGGACCTATGAAAATGCCCTTGAACCATTCTCATGCAATAGTCAGAACAGAAGTGTCTGTCTGGTTTCAGTTTAAACACTCTGACAATTAAATGTGACAGTGAAGGATGAATGTGGTAATGAATGTCTCCTAGATGTTACCCAAAGCAAAAATAAAGGGTAAGCGAAAATTGAAAATGAAATATATTAAATACTTCATTTAGTCACTAAAAAATTCAGAATATACAGTCATCAATGGACTTCAATATCCTCTTGTTTAACTTAACATTTGCTGGGATTGATGGCAGTGCTAACACACTAGACCACTATTTGGAGTCAGGAACCCTGCGTGTGATTGACATTTTTGGAGTAACTAACTGTAAATGGCTATTTTGATCAATGTAAAATACTGAAAACTATAAAACATATCTACAGATGCAAATCCTTTTATATTTTTATTTCATGTACAGAATTTTGTTTTACTTAGTACAGTTGCCTAGTGCATTTCACCTCATTTAGCCAAATCAGCATTTTTAAATAACAGTATTTGAAAAGGCCTTCATCAATTTCATTATGTCCCTCCCTATTATTATCCAGAAGCAACTCAAATTCCATAAATACAATATTAACCATTGAGTCACAGCCTTTATTTCTGAGTGAAAATCCCAACTCTAGGAAAAAGGCTGTAAGTGTAAGATGTCTTAACTTGATTCATTCATCACCAGTTGATTTTTGTTAATAATGTATTAAGACTAAATTAGCCATGTGGGAAGAATTTGATGCTGCCGTCAGTCTGATGGCTGAGTCATCTTCAGATAGTCAAAACTCATGCAAAAAGAGTATGGCTGCAGTGACCCAGTCATACTATGTAATCAGCATTTTTGATAGAGTCACAATACAGTTTTTCTCCCAACATCATGACCTTTGTATTTTGACAGCCTTATAGTCATTGGCTAACAAAGCAACGTGTCGTGTTGGTGCTGGTTCATTTTCACCCCATGAAATATTCAGTGCATAAATGAAATAAATAGGAGATCTGGAGAGGAAGAAAAAAAAAAGTGAAATGTGGCTGATTTAAAACACCTGTGACGTGGCTCCTAATTCTGATCTGACTGGTGAAAGTGAAGGTGCTTTTCAATGGTGGATTCTGTTAGCACCACTTCATTGTACAGTTCTATATAACAGTTTAGACTATAGTTCATGGAGAAACAACAGATATTTCCTGAAGGAACTTCTGCTTCGAAATACATGTCCTGCTACCCAGCTATGAATTTATTTAGTAAGAGATTTGGTGGGGGCAGGAAGACAGTTCCCATTCATTCCAGAAAACCAAATTCTGCCATCACATTGATTCCAACTCATAGCAACCCCCATTGAGTTTCCAAGGTGGTAAATCTTTACGGAAGTAGGTTGCCCCATCTTCCTCCTGTGGAGCAGCCGGTAGGTATGAACCACCAACCTTCTGTTAGAAGTCAAATTTTGCCTCAGGCACCACACCACCAGAGTTCCTTACCAGTTCTAATTAGAGGTTAAGATATTTGAAACACCCCTACAGAATTTACTGGGACATAGCATGCATGCAACAGCCTCAAGAATGCCTGAGAAGCGTATCAACACCAAGTGCTACCTCTAACCAGCTGCGTGAGTTTGGGCACATCATTTAAGTACTATTTTTTTAATTATTGTTACATTTTTTTTCCACTTAACTACCTTTAACTTCAGTTTTCTTACCTGTAAACCTAACCAAAAACCCACTGGCATTGAGTTGATTCTGACCCCTAGCAACTCTATAGGAGAGTGTCAAAACTGCCCCATAGAGTTTCCAACGCTGTAAATCTTTACATAAGCAAACTGCTTCATCTCTCTCCCACAGAGCTGCTGGTGGGTTTCAACTGGTGACCTTTTGGTGAGTAGCCGAATGCTTGAACCACTGCCATCAGAGCTCCTATAAACTCAAGGGGGATCAATCTGAAAAACTCTGTAACTCTAAAAGTCAATGGAAATACCAAAGTTTTTTAAGTGATCAAGAGAAAATCTTATGACTAACCTAGATTGTTACCAAAGAAACAGAAGCCACCTAACAAACCTATCTATCCTTTGCTATATTGCTCCAAGGGCCTATTAGCAATTTGAATTCTGGGGCATTAAGTAAAACTGCTTCCCCAGCACTCTTCCGAGGGATGGTTTATAAGCTCACATAGGGATGTGAGCAGAAATGGATATGCCAGCATTACACAACCAGTGTAAACACCTCACTCCCAGACAGGGAGCTGCTTGGGGCCAACCAGGACTGTGCAGTGAACAGGTTTTATAAGTACATCCTGCCTAAAGTCATCAGTTCTCGCCGAAGCCATATTAAGTGGGCTTCTTCACTTATATATCCCAACCCTGGGTGCTTCATCCAACCAAGAATGGGTATTATTGTCAGTGCTTGGTTTTCTTTCCTTGCCCTGAGGAAAGGAAATTTGCATGTTCATTCGGGATTCAGGGTTCTGTAACAATTCTGCTCTGAGCTGGAGTCTGGAGTGGAGCAACTTGCTGATGTGCTGCTAAAAAAAAACAAACTCACTGCCCTGGAGTCAACTCAGAACTACCCCTCCTTGGGTTTCCGAGGTGATATCTCTACAGAAGTAGCTTGCCCACTCTTCTTCCCGAGGAGTAGCTGGTGGGTTTGAGCTGCCAGCCTTCTGGTTAGCACGGTGCCTTAGGTGTTCTACCACCTGAGCTCCCCAATGTGCTGCTACCACAACTTAAAACACCTCAGAGGAATACTGAAGGAAAAACAAAAAGGCATTTTTCTTGAATTGAGTATAATAACTTCCCTATCTCTACATCAAAAAGTCTGGGACATAAGCTGCTCTAGGCTGCCTGAACTGAGGAGTATGCAGAAAAGTACCAGGAGTCACATAAAAGTGTATTGAACCATTGTCCTCAAGTAAAGGAAAAGAACAATATCAAGGGCATTTTAATTGTGGCAAATAATTTATGGACTTGAAGTCTGTCCTGTTTTGCTTTGGGGGTTGTGAGGAGTACTTGATTCCAACTTAGGTCATCATTTCATGGTAGATTTAACAGTAGAGATTGTTGGATTGGAATAAATATGAATTTGCGTGAAATATACCTTGAAAGCTGTTCTTCATTTTTTAAAATGCTTAATAATTATAGTGCAAATACCATACATACAGTAATGTTTAACACCAATTTTCTGGAAGGTGCCGATTTGCAGCATTTGCCAATTTCCATGGTGTAAATGGTCCCACATAACCAGTTTCCAGCAGTTTAACAACTGACTTGAAAAACTTTTGAAAATTTATGTTCTCACAAACCAGTAGAGCTGGTTCTAGTACACCAAAATTCTTAAGATATCAGACTTATCATAAATCTCCAAAAAATCAGGATTTTCATAAGATCTCCAAAGAGAAAACTCTAGAGCAAAATATATACTCTATTTTTACTGTATACTCTTTTGATGGACACTTATGTAAAAATGGAGAAGTCTATGCAGTTATTGAGTAATAAAGAGCTGCTGTCAGTAGACCCCCTCATCACGCTAAAATCTAACAACTGAGTTGAACCATTTGCAGAGGATCTCACATAGGAAAATATGTGAATAAGAAAAAAAGACATGTAGACAAAAGCCATGAAGAAAAATTATATATCTCGGTAAATTAATTTCTTTAAAAATATTCATTGCGGCCTTGCATGGGCTGAAAAGTGCCAAGTGGTTCATGTTCAAAATAGCATGTTAATTAGTGGTGTTCCTTTGAAAGAAAATTGACATGTTTCAGGGAATGCTTAGTCCTCAGTTTGATTCATCTTTTCCATGGAATAATAAAATTCTAATTTAACTCTATTAGGCCTAGAAAGTAACACATAACTTTTCCCACCCTTCCCTCAGCTAAACATGGGCCAAACCTTGCAGGAAAAAAACCAAACTCACTACCGTCGAGTCGTTTCCAACTCATAGCAACCCCTCCTTGGGTTTCTGAGGCAGTATCTCCAAGGAAGTATATTGCCCAGTCTTCCTTCCGAGGAGTGGTTGGTAGGTTTGAACCGCCAGCCTTCTGGTTAGCAGTCAAATGCTGTAGGCACTACGCCACCCTTTTTGGACGTACAGAGGGTAGTAAGAAATTGGGAAGCCTATCAGAGGGCAAAGATGGGAAGTAGATACGTACCCAGTCCAAGTGAACAGCACAGTGGCTACCCCACCAGAAAATGAGAGAGAAAGACTTCACAGCCAGCTGAATCACTTCCTCCTCTTTATTAACTCCTTTTCCCATCTGCTTGTCCCTTTAATTCCCACGTGTATGCAACTCTCTTTCCCTCCCACTCCTGTGGGAACAGATTCTTCTTGAATTTTCATCTTTGTTTTCCTCCTTACCCATTGATCTCTTTAACTTATCTTTATTGCATTCTATTCTTGACTTCCCTTTCTCATCTCTTAATAACACAGAACTGAAGAATAGTTTTAAATATTTGTTCTGCTTATTTAGTATATATATTGGCATGTTTTTAATTTAAAAACAGACACTTAAACACAAAGTCCAAGCCTTCTAATATGAAGTAGGTTATATTTCTTTTTATCAACAGATTATATTCTATAGAAAATAACATGTTGAAAATTAACCTTAAAAAAATGTTATTTTAAAAAAAAAGATGAAAACAATATTTACATAGAAGGTACTCTTAGGCACCATGGATCCTGAAAATGGAATGACACCGGTGAAGAGTGACAACAACAAAAACGAGATTTTGAAAGAGTAAAATGACTTAAGAATTTAATTACATGTATCTGTCTAACCCATATTCTAGACATAAGTTTAAACAGGGAAGAATAAAATTTATTTTACCAGTAACTTCTCACCAATACAATATATAGTATGATGCATTCTTCACACCTCATTTAGGGTGTAACTAATTGACCAGACTACTAGTCAGTTATACTATCTTACTGCAAATGTCCACATGAGTGTGCTATATGGCTGGGACCCAGCACACATCTGACATCAAAATGGCTTCCAAGTGAATGAGAAAACATTTGAAACCATATGGTATAGTCAGTTCTTCCCAATAAAAATGTTAAGTGCCCTTTTCCAAACA